CGCGAGGCGAAAACTTCAGGCGGGAGCTGCTCTGTCTCAGAGATGTTTGCTGATGTGACACGAAGAGAGGACAACACAGGTGGGCTTTGCGTTGCCGAGTGCATATGATCGGCCTATGGTGGTGACCGCTAGGAACGTGCCGGCCAGCGAGGTGACGACACATAATGCTTCAACTTCAATCATGGGAGCATACTTTCGACGTTGCTCGGGATCGCGGTCTAACAGGCCACTTCAGTTGACGCTGCCCCCCTTCTTCGCCAGCAATATTCCCCGGGTTGGGCAGCTAGTATACGTCCTCAGAGCAAGCTTGAAGCGTGGGCGTCGTCCGCGACCACATCGACGCCAATCAAAGTCCGGTTTCTTGGAACATGCGGTGTGGACCTATTTTTTTGACCAACCATGGCACAGCGCAGCTGCGCATTCCCCCCATGCCGGCCCTACTTTTCATGTCAATCACCATACCGTGCTGATCGCTGGATGCGGGAGCTGAGAAAAGCATGCCAGTCTGGAAGCGGTAAGCACAGCTGTATAGAGCTCAGACGTTTGGCGTTCCTTGGCCTGCAACTCAGTGCGCGTCTCTTGCTCAGTGCAACATCACCTCATGTTGAATACATCAACTAACACACCCTGCTGATGCTGCTCACCTGGGTTTGTGCAAAATAGCCAGGGTCAGCTGCTACATACACAATATTGAATACATGTCAATTGCTCAGCAGTGCGCGGTGATGGTGCCGCACCTAAAAAATGGTAGAGATTGGGAAGCGTACCCACACGAAGTCGTTCAAGCTTGCGCCCAAGTCTGCCCAGTCTCTTCTGCAAACACTTTGCTTACGTGCCAGAGATCATGCTGCACTGCAGTTTGGAGGGCGGTGAGGGCATCGCATCACAACATTCCATGTGACACGCTATTAAGACAGCAGCACGCCAGTGTGGCTGTTGAGGTTGGTGCAAGTAATCGGTAATAATTTCAGTGTGGCCATCTATGGTGCAAAGGCGACACCTGGTGATGTTGATTGCTTTGCCGCTGCGGCCAGCCGACACTGTGCGTAAGGGCTTGCAGCTTTGATCATACAAATCTCACTTGTACCAAGCCGCAATATTTCAACACTATCTAACACTCATCTCCATGACGCTCTTCGACTGTACTTGTATGCAGGTCATCGGCCACAGTCCCCTTACTGACTGAAGTGGACATGCACAGAGCAGCATAAGCGTGTGGCAATCCCAGACATCAGCTCATCACTGAGGTCAGCTTGTGCTGATGTGTCGTGTGCACGCTTCTACAAGTCAAGCCACCTTCCACCCCTTCATGCTGCAGGTTGAAGCACAATTCATGAGCACATTGCTGAATCAGCATTGACCTGAGAGGCCAATTATACAGCAAACGCAGGTTACATATGGTGCTTGTGACACATCACCACCTGTTTGCACGTTTACTCTACAACATTGGCGCAGTCGATATGCTCTGTCAGTGTCATGCACAAATATGAGCGCAATCTCAACCCTGTCCTGTAGAACTAGTACAGGTTGGCAGCTGCTGATTACCTGCGTACTCGCTTAACGCCGTCCGCTGCAGGTGGTGCATGAACCGAGCAACAACAGTAGAGGGCAGCGGTCGTCACCAGGGCAATGTGTTGACGCACTACAAATTGATGTCAATCTCAATAAGCATCTGTGAACGCCCCTGGGGGCATGCAAACTGCTGGCCAGCTTATGTGCTGCAGTAGTGCGCGGTCGGCTCCTGCTGATGTGTCTGGAGATTCTGAATTCCAAGAATATGCATCTTGCAGCGTTCGCTTGCTATTTTCAGAAGGGCCCCTGTGAAGGGCTCCTGTAATGCCCATCCGCCGCGCAGCATATTCTTTCCATGTCAAGAGCGCTTGCAGCACTGCAATGTGCTTTTATACTTCAAGTATTCCACTTGTGGCTTTGAACTATGATTGTGATGCAGCAGTACACTTGTGAGCAACATCGATTGGGATGAAGGCAAGCCGCACTTGTGAGCAATATCGATTGGGATGAAGGCAAGCCGACCTGACCCAGTTTTGACTAGCCACAAAAGTACCACACAAACAGGAATAGATATAGCTTCGCAAGTTTGATGAAACAAGCAACAGAATGCAGTGCGCACATCAACTTGATTGTGCAAACGAATGTGCTGCCGGTCATGCACATCCGCAGCAATGTGTGCAACAGCCAAGCATGAGTATGTAGTAGTTGTGCACTGCTGCAAGGCCGTCAACGGCATTACTTCGTCTGAATGCTTGACTACATGGCTTCCTTGGTCAGCGCATTGAGGATTATTGTTGCGGCGTCGAGTATGCGCATTGGTTAGCAAGGGTGCATATCACCAGCGAGTTCTGATTACCAGGGAGTGCTTGTATGATGTCACAACATGGGCCGTTCCAGATACTTCCAAATTACAACCTTAGAATATCTTGGCTGGTCAGATTCACTTGTCTGGCTGGCTGGGAAGCAAGACTGAGAGCACCCTCCCATCTGCACCTTGGGGTGTCTACATAGGCTGGCTAGGGTCAACAAGTACAGGTGATCCATGCAATGCCATGTCATTCTGTATGTTGATTTAAGTGTGTCTCTGGTGTTGTGTCGCTTGCCCCTCTCTCAGACTTTTCCAAGAAACCCACATTTCCTACTCCTACATCACCGAGTGACTCTCCACCACCCTCATCAAGTGAGACTTGTTGTATTGTGGACAGATGTCACCTATGTAGCAGTATAGTTTTCTGGCCTCTGTGTACAAATCAGTATGCACTGTAGCAAAACAGTGCATGCTTCAACTCTGATTGCCTCACCGCTGTAGGGCATCGTGGTGGAACGCACACACACACTCGAGATCCGTTATTCCCAGTTTTATTTTCAAGTACAAGTTTGGCCAAAGTTCTGGTCTTCAAGGCAAGCTGGCTGTGCTTGCTGTTGGTGAAAGCCCTGTTGATTGCGGCATCACTCTTGCTCATGTGCAGTGTGTGCGGACTTCCGCCGTCAACGTCACTTTCAAAATCTAACTGATCTGTCCCTAGCTTCTTGATTTCCTGATATTTTGAAAGCAAAGCAGATGGCTGTGGGTCTCAGTGGCAGGGCTGTGTTGCCACAGCTGCGGCAAAACGCGCAAGCGTGATACTGACGCGTGTTTGTAAAGTGCCCAACTCAGCATGAAATGCTATTATATTAGCGCACATGACGCTTTTGATGAATACGCTCAACATGCATGAATGCACGAACGTTGCATGAATGCATGAACGTGTGCTGCAAACGAGGCAAAACAGCTGGTGCTGCTGGCATCTCCACATGCCACAGATGCCCACTGGTGTGTTGCGTGCTACAAAAGAGTCAGCAGTGCTGCTGGCATCTTCAGTACTGCTACCTGCATACCCAAAACCTCAATGAGCGTGGTGCACATGTGCTGCCATCTAATAGTAAGCTTAACCCTAACTCAACTAAACACAAGTGTCACAAAGAAGCTCAAAGTGAATGTTGGGTTGTTGATGGTGAGTGAGGCATGGCATGCATGGAGGGTGACCTGACGCTGCGCAAGTATGAGCCTTCAAGTTTCCTGGCTTGCATCTCCGCCGACGATGGTGGTGCATCACGAGTAAGCTATACAGCGCCAATTACGTCGCTTTCGCCCACAACGGAAAACGGCTGAATTCGACTGCTGCTCACTTCCTGCTCGATTGCGCTGACCCAGAGGCTTGCTACAATTAGTAGTACCTGTGCCGGCGGAGCTGCCAGTGGCGTTGATGCCACCGGGAGCTGCGCACTGGCAGGATGTTGCAGTGCAGGGTGAGTGACGGTGCTGTTGATGACAGCTGTTGCTGCTGTTGCTGCTGCAGGGGAGATAGGGCTGCTGGAAGCATATGTGCCAGCTTGTCACCAGTTGCCGCACGCAGCCATGTGGCAACTGCGGCAATGAATCGTCTGCATAGGGGCAGGTGTGCCATCTCTAATGTAGCTGCGCGTCGCCTGGTAGGATTGTTGGCCCAGAAGCGGAACGCTTCGGCGCTGCCGCTGCTGCAGGCGCCGGAACAGCGGTTGCGCCGCCGTAACATGCCGCCGCTGCGACGGCAACCATGATGGTGCTGCTGCTGCCGCCGCGGCAGTTGCGGCCCCTGTTGCAGCGGTCACCGATGGTCCTTGCCGTCACCGCTGCCACAACCGCCGTCACTCCGTTCAAGGCACCGCCTGCTGCCGCTGTCCCTGTCGCAGCAGCAGCAACAGGCCCAGGCCCGGGCCTGTTCAACAGGGCCTGCTGCAGCAGCAGCAGTAACTCCTGGCGGTCACGGTGCTGTGTCACCTGTGCCCGCAAATGCAGCGGCATTGGAGCGACTGCGCGCGCTGCGGCCGCTGCCGCTGGCCCTGCAGCACGTCCAGCCGCCGGGCGGCAGCGCGGCCTGCCTCTGCTGCCGCGGCAGCAGGGCGGCCTGCCGCTGCTGCCGCGGCAGCAGCGCTGCCGTGACGTCACTGCGAAGCCGGCAGCGGCAGCGCAGGGCAGCAGTGCAGGGCAGCAGGGCAGCAGGGCAACGCTGCCGCTGCCGGCGTCGCAACGGCGTCGTAGCAGCAGCGCAGGCTGCGCTGCAGCTGCAGCTGCAGCTGCAGCTGCTGTTGCTGGAGCAGCTGCGCCTCCGACTGCCGCTGCAGTGACGCTGTTGAAGCAGCAGCAGCTGACACCTGTGCTGCCGTTAGGGGGGCCCCTGTGGCAACAACTCAGAATATAGATCCACTTGGGGCTGTGTAGTCACTGTAAAGTGCACTGCTGGCTGTATTTCCTACTTTTCCACTCCAGCACCAAATGAGGCGCTGAAAGCCCATTGCTTATCAATGCCGTCCTCGCATTTGCCGGCACTGGTGATCACGAGGTGGAGATAAGCGAACGACAGAACAGTCAAACACCGAGTCTTCATGAGTCAGAAAAATAATAACCTTAATCCTAACCCTTAAAAAAATAAAAAGGCCGAAAAAAAGAAAAAACGAAATCGATATTTCATCACCGGCGGGGCTCGAACCCGCAACCACTCGATTAAAAGTCGAGCGCGCTGCCATTGCGCCACGGAGACCCGTAAACTTCAACTTGGTGTATGGCGCCTGCATGAGCACCTAGAACCTCAGGCTCAGGCGTGAATGGTGGGGCGCTCGCTCACTAAAAACGCGCACAGCCACGGCTAGCAAGCTCATTCCCAATAGTACTTATGATCTTGTATTTACAGCAGCCCCAAGGTGGGCTTGATGCGTTGGATAAGATTGCAAAAAACTAAAATCGGACGGGCCCTTAGAGCCCTACGTTGCAGGCTTGTACTAGACTCATGGGGGGCAGACACAGCGGCACCCAGTCTGAGCCACACCTATCGTAGCCGATGTCTCCATCTCTTGAGCGAAAACGCCGGAGGACCGCGGTTATGCCTCTAGTATACATCTGGGCCAGAGGCGCCCGGTCCTCGATTCCTTGCCTAAGCACGCCGCTGACGTGCCTGGCCGAGGTTCTCTTTCTTGCGTGTTCAAGCAAACGATCTACAGTGTGCCCTGATGCTATCCGTATCCCCATGTTCCAATATCCCCTGCTGCTGCCCAAAGCCGTATCCTCACCACACGCGACTCCGCAGCTCCTGCTCACAGCCAGCATCTCCCATCCCCTTGCTGCCTGATGCACCCTCGCCACCATCAGCGCCACCGCGAGCGCTGCCGCACCTCTCGGTGCTAACGAGCAGAGTACTTCTGAATTCAAAGTATAACTGTGATCCAGGAGCTTACACCTGAGTGTCACCTAGGGTTGCGATTGTAGCTAGAGTGAGTGCTGAGCTACTCCTGAGACCTTATTTAGGTGTACAAGACCCTGATAAGCCTTGCAGAAGCAATATAGGCCTTGACAGCAGTTGTGCCAGTGGTGCCAGTTGTGCCTGGCCTCACTTGAATCCTCATTGACACTTCAATGGCGCCGGCAGTGTTCAAGTACTACATAAGGTCTTTGCCCTGACGCACATTGCCCTGATGCACATCGCACGTGCAACAAGTACTGACCATGCTTTATAAGGCCGCATAACCAATCATGATCCGTCAAGGCTGCATGAACCGGCATTGACGCCATGAGGTAGTTTGGCAAACCGCTTGACCTCAAAGCAGCTTTGAAAGCTTCCCCGGGAAACAAAGACATGTTGCTGCTACGATGCTACAATGGAAAGACCACGATGATTTGCTTGACTCCTTCCAACCACAACTTCTTTCTCATATGAGTCAGCTCTAGTCTAGGCGCATCAACGTAGTGCTACCAAAGTAACACATTGCCGCTGTATCTGATCTGCTGGTGCCATTATTCTGCTGCTTCTTTCCTTGCTGCATGCAGAACATGAAAGGCATGATCGTGTTCCCGCTGGTCCTGGACTGCCTCAACGAGTAAGTGCCAGTAACAAGGTTAGGCATTGACGGTGTGCATGTGGCAGCATGCAAAAAAACATGAGTTCGAGTGTATATGGTCACACATTGCCAGCATGCTCTGCAATGCATGTTGCAGCTGCTTGCAGAATTATCAGTGAGCAGCAGAGATGGTGGGCACCTGCAGTAACCTTGTGAGACTAAGCATACATGCACGCCAGCGGTAGGGTGCTGTTGACTTCAGTGGTACTCCTCGATTTCTTGAACCTGTCAACATGCCACTGGTTGCTCTAAGACTTGATGGTGATGCTTGAATGAACTGTGTGCATCACACCATGATGGTTGGTGCTTCAAAGTTGTCATCAAAGCACATTTCTGATATAGCAGTTGTAACATCCTTTGACTTGACAATGTTGCACAAGCAAGTCAGACTTCCGCCCCGCACATGCAAAACCAAGCATACCCTTGACTTTCAAAAGCATGCGTCATGCCCATGCAGTGAGGGGAAGAGATGGCTGAGAGCCATGTGCAACGAGTGGCCAGTTGGCACTCAGCAGCGGCTAGACCCATTCAACAGGGCCGGGTGGAAGGCCAAGGAACAAGAGCTCTTCGCGTGCTTATGGCACATTCTGCTCACGCCTGTGCTCGCTAATAGATCGGTAAGTCACTGTGGCGCAGAAACATCTTGAAACGCTTGTGAATGTATGCACAGTTACCTTATTTTTGACAGTCAAATAGTGTGGGACTTGCGCTCTCTTGACCACTTCAGTTGAGCAGTACGCACTGTAGTAGGCCCGAGCATTATGATAAATTAATGCTTGACATATGCTATCACAAGACGCCTCAGGCAAACTATTAATGATGTGTCTAGCTTAGAGCATGGCATTGCATGCATGGTATCATAACAAAGCTTGCACTCACCCCGCGCCGCGGCTCGCCCCCCTACGTGTTATTAAGCTTGTATCATGTCTGAACTTGACTCTCTCCACCTGCCAACAATCGCCGCGCTGCATGTGCTGCGACACACAGCTTCGCTCACTGAGATTCCGCAGTCTTCTAATCTGAGGCAGGCAAGGTTGCCGGTGACGTTTGGTCACCCACCCCGCGCTGCGGCTCGCCCCCCTACGTGTTTTTAAGCTTGTACCATGTCTGAACTTGACTGAATTAACCGGTAATCAGCCACCGCAACACGTGCACTGCCACCAGCACCTGCGCTCACGAGGCCTCCAGATGTTGAAGTGTGCGGCAGGCAAGGCGCGAGCGTGAGCTGTTTGCACTCACCCCGCGCCGCGGCTCGCCCCCCTACGTGTTATTAAGCTTGCATCATTTCTGAACTTGACTCTTTCCACCTGCAGACAACCGCCGTGCTGCATGTGCTGCGACACACAGCTTCGCTCACTGAGATTCCGCAGTCTTCAAGTCTGAGGCAGGCAAGGTTGCCGGTGACGTTTGGTCACCCACCCCGCGCTGCGGCTCGCCCCCCTACATGCTATTAAGCTTGTATTATGTCTGAACTTGACTGAATTAACCGGTAATCAGCCGCTGCAACACGTGCACTGCCACCAGCACCTGCGCTCACGAGGCCTCCAGATGTTGAAGTGCGCGGCAGGCAAGGCGCGAGCGTGAGCTGTTTGCACTCACCCCGCGCCGCGGCTCGCCCCCCTTAGCGTTATTAAGCTTGTATCATGTCCGAACTTGACTCTGTCCACCTGCAAACAACCGCTGCGCTGCATGTGCCACCAGCACCTGCGCAGCAACTTTAGCCCTGACCCTAATCGTATCTCAACCCAACCGTTAAATCCTACGTAGGCAGCAGGCACGCGTTATGCGCAGTGGCCCTGCATGGACGGGGCATGCGCGCAGCATTGAGCCAGTGCACGCTGTGCGCAGTGGTGGTGCCGGTAACTTATTGAATACGCTCCCCATATTTGAGTAACCACTGGCATGGTATTCATGGCGCTGTCGCTCAGTCAAGGGGCTAGTAACCCTTTAACCTGCAGGCGGCAGGCTGCACACATGGCACGACCACCGTGACTGGAACCTTCAAGTTGGCAGCTTTGTACATCTATTGATGGTCTCTTGTACATGTTGAACACAATGTTATACATATAGTTGCGGAAAGATGCACATCAGATATGGCACAATTCCAGTTGCTAGCTGATGCTGCATGCTCGGACCTCACTCTGGACCATGCAAATGGCACAAAGCCTGACAGTACATCCGACTTAATGTTGCATGGATGCACTGCAGGAGGACCGTGAAGCAAATAAGATCAGGGGAGGGCGCCTGAAGGCAGGGTTGGCAACCTCGTTAGGCGGTGCATTGGTAGATGAGCGGGATGTTTGTGCCAAGCTAGCGAACGTTTGCCGGTCAGCAGCTGTTTGCACCTGGGCTCTCAAGCAACCGAGCACAACAGTGGAGGAGGTCAGAGGATCGTTAACGCTTCGACTGAAAGAGCGAATGCAGATGCTCGTGGACGTGATTGGTGCCCCTGCCACGGAGGAGTCTTCCGCTGCTGCCGCACATGCACACAGGAGAGGGGCAGCTGACGCAGCACCACTGGAACATGGGGGGGATCATCAGGAGCATGGGGGCACACAAGGGACGGCAGCGCAGCGGCGCCGCAAGAAGAAGATGAACATTGCTAAGTCTGTCAACCATCAGAGCAAGCACGTCCCGCGTGCCATTGTTGACTTTGGTGAGTGCTGTAGCCAGCGGATTGTCAGATGGTAGTTTGAAGCACGGACTTGTCAAGTTCATACTTACATTTTTGCGCAGCCTATAACACGACAGCAGCGGCGTCAAAGACCATGGCAGAGCTCAGGTTCACTGTAAGTGTGTAGCCCTGCCAGCTCCTCGTGTTCGTATTATGGAGCAAAGCTGAAGCTTTGCTGATGTGGTCACATGCATGCACTTGCTTTATGGTACAAAACAATTGCGCATTATGTGTGCACCATTGATGTGTAGGCTCAAAGACGCTGACTTTTGAACTTCAAGTGAAGACCGCAGGACTAGTCTATCAGTGCAGCAAATATATTATTAGGCAATAACATTGTCAAAAGCATGGAAGTAAGGTGTACATGAACAGAGACTGCTTCAGCAATTGCACTAATGCTCAAACCACTGCTTCAGCCGTTAACTTAAAGTACTGCAGCTTTGGCGTGAACTCAAGTACACAGCAGCTTCGGCGAGAGTTCAAATGCAGTACATATTCACTCATTGCCATGCGAACATGTACTTCGAAGTACATGCATACACATCTGTCTGTACACATCTGCGCATCTCACCATGTACGGACGGGGGATTTGTTGACCTTCTTTGCACAGGTAAGGTGCCAGACTCTTCCAACTGCGAAGCTGGTCACCAAGATAGCAAGGTCACCAACAAGTCAAGCTGTCACCGCAACGCCACTCAGCACTACATGAGGCGGCGCAACACAGCATTTGGCGTCATGACAAGTGCGGAAGGACAGGCTTACACGGCCATCAAGTACGACACAGCTAGCAGAGAGTCAAACAAAACGGAAGTACAGCCAGGTACCAAGCTGGTGGATCTGCTCAACAAATTTCCAGCACTAGTCCCCGGGTGCCCACCACCAGCACCTACTGCACTGCTGTGCGGCCGCACCAGCTGGGCTCTACACCTTGCCCGCACCAGCAGCGTTCAGCCAGAGGTGGGCATGGTGACGGCG